GTCCCCATCAAATTTAAAATTTAATTAATTTAAACCCCCACATTTACCATAAAACATTAGTTCATCCAGTGTTTCTCTTGTTTAACAAATAAATTTATTTCATTTTACCTGTAGAAAACTCACATTAAGTGTTTTCTTATGTAGGTAAAAATCTGTTTTCAAATCAGTTTTCTGGGGGGAGGACCCCCAGACCCCCCACCAGTGGGTCCCCCCAACATTACAAATACTTACTCTTGTTTTTGTCTCTGAATGTTATAAAATCAGTGATATTATCTGTGAAATTACAAATTCAACATCTGTTGGTGAATCTATAGCTTTATATTGCCATAGTTTTCAATTAGTCGTTTTTACAAACACATCATAAATTTTCTGTTATTCACATTAGTTTTGGTGGCCCCCCCATGGGCCCCCCTGAAAAAAAATTTGCAAGCGCCACTGATGATTGGCTGCATTTCAGGAAAAGGGCAGTAATTCTGGCTTCATTATTCCTGATGAATTAACCTCCCCAGTTTGACCTGCAAAGGTAAACCTGGACTGCTCAATCAACACAACGGTTTGTGAATATCCTGTCCACATGCAGAGCAGTGATGGGTCCAGAACAAGAGACACTTAACCACCCTGAACTGCACAAGTCTGTTTCACACTGAATATTTGTTTGTTTTCAGGCACTGGTTGGTGTCACACATTTAATCATACACTGTGCTCATAATACCAACTCTGTTATCCATCTGAAACTGTAATCATGGCAGAACGACATTTCACCTTGTTTCCTTTTATCTCCACCCATGTTTGGAGGCTTAGATCTTTCTGTCAGTAAATGTATGAATCCTGAATACACACAGTTTCCCTGCAGTAAGTTGATGAAGTTATTGAACTTCACGTTCTTCTCTTTCTTCAGGTGTGGAGTGTAAAGTACAACAGCAACGGCTCAAAGATTGTCTCCGCTGGCGATGACCGCGCCATTCACATCTACGACTGCTCGTCCTGATGAAGAGCAGTGAGCAGGATGATATACTCAGAGGTCGACCAAATCATGGAGTTGAATTTGGTAAATTTAGGAGGTGCGGAAGTTTTGTAAATGTGATTTTTTTTTTTTTTTTTGCACTGGCTGAAAATAAAAAGATTTGTTTTGGTGCCTTTGTTCTTGATGTTTTTCTTTAAACTTCACAATTACAGAATAATTTCAACACAGTAATTTTACCATACTGTTCATAACGAGAAAAAGTCAAACTGAATGCTTTTTCACTTCTCTCGATGAATTATGGGGTTTGATTTGAATCTCTTAAATGACAAGCTTCATAAATTGTTTCAAGTTAAAACTAACTAGCATTAACATTATTAAAAATATTGTTTAAAACAAGTAAAGCTTTATTCTACAGGTCAAGGGTCTTCCAATAGGATAATGGACTAGATAACAGAAACACCCAAGGACTATTCTGAAGTGTCTTTCTGAGCCCAGGGCCTGTATTTATCAAACTTCTTAGAATTCCTCTTAAGAATGCTGCTAAGAGTGGACTTAAGTGTAAGATAATTCTTAGTCAAAAGCTGAGAGTAAAAGTCAGTTAAGCGTCTCAGTCTTTAAGTGAAGTGTAGAAGTAATGCTTAAGTGTCAGTCTTACTTTAAGTTAAGTGTAAGAGTAATTCTTAAGTGTCAGTCTTTAAGTGAAGTTTAAGAGTAATTCTTAAGTGTCAGTCTTTAAGTGAAGTGTAGGAGTAATTCTTAAGTGTCAGTCTTACTTTAAGTGAAGTGCAGGAGTAATTCTTAAGTGTCAGTCTTACTTTAAGTGAAGTGTAGGAGTAATTCTTAAGTGTCAGTCTTACTTTAAGTGAAGTAGCAGGAGTAATTCTTAAGTGTCAGTCTTACTTTAAGTGAAGTGTAGGAGTAATTCTTAAGTGTCAAAGCTGATCCTGGATGACGTAGTTGTACCTGGGGGCCCGGTGCTTGTGGTTCCTTCTGGGGTCTTTGGCTCTGGCCTCCCCTTATGTCTGCCTCGTGCCTCGTTTCATCTTCATCATCC